AGATTGCTCAAGGTCAGGAGTTCAAAAGAAGCCTGACCAAGAATGAGACCCTGTCTCTACTAAAAATAGAAAGAAATTAATTGGCCAGTTAAAAATACTGCCAGGGCATGATGGCTCACGCCTGTAATCCTAGCACTCTGGGAGGCCGAGGTGGGCGGATTGCTCGCGGTCAAGAGTTCAAAACCAGCCTGAGCAAGAGTGGAGGTTTTATACATTTTCAGAGAGACAGGGGTTACAGGCAAAGTCACAAATCAATACATGAGAGGCATACATTGGTTTGGCCCAAAAAGGTGGGACATCTTTAAGGCGGGGAGGGGGCGGGTATAGACATACAGGACTTACAGGTTACAGGTGGGTTTAAAGATTCTTTGTCAGGTCCAGACAGGAGGACGTTTTAAATTTATGATAGGCGCCTGCTAGGATGCTTGAGTTGAGATAGGGGCTTCTTATCTTTTAGGTGATGTTAATGCCAAACCAGAATCTGGTTGGGAAGTAAACCACCGCTTAATTTGGTTAACAAAAGCCGCTTAGTGGGAATTTACCCTGTGTCAGCCTGACCCAACTGGCCTCCTTAGGAAAGAGTTTTTAGAAAAAGAAAGAGATCAGAGTTCACTCCTCAGCTTCAAGTCATGGTAATGGTATAATAAAATTTGGGGAGGCCAAAAAAATAGATATGCCAGGCCTATCTGAGGCCAATTCAGAATCTGAGGGGCCCCTGGGCAGTGTATCTATTTAAAGCTGCCCAGATGTTTGTAATGCGCAGCCAAATTGAGAGAACCACTGAAGTTCCTCAGCCTTTTGACTGTACCCAAATTTTATGGAAAGGGATTTGTTCTGTAAGTTTGAATTTAGTCCAAGGGCCACACTTAGGGATCTGGAGGGCCACATGTGGCCTTGAGGCCACAGGACTCAACCAAGGGCTACTCCTGATTCTATTTTTGGGAGGATAGTGCCATGGGAGATGAAGGACAGGAGCTTTCAGTGCTTTCAGGAGCAGTTGCTGGTGGTAAGAGGCTATCTGCTTTGAGCAGAAAGGCTTGAAAGGCTTGAAGGCTTGAAAGGCTCCCACTAAATGGCAACAGCAGCAATGATAGGAGATTAAGGAAGAATCTCTGACAAATTTAATGGGCCAAAACAGAACTCCTCAGGCTGGACCAATTAAATTCATGACTTTCAGGGTCTGTAATCCTACCACTCTGGGAGGCCGAGGTGGGAGGCATGCTCAAGGTCTGGAGTTCGAATCCAGCCTGAGCAAGAGTGAGACCCATCTCTACTAAAAATAAACAAATATAAACAAATTAATTGGCCAACTAAAAATATATATAGAAAAAATTAGCCGGGCATGGTGGCGGCATGCCTGTAGTCTCAGCTACTTGGGAGGCTGAGGCAGAAGAACTGCTTGAGCCCAGGTGTTGGAGGTTGCTGTGAGCTAGGCTGATGCCACCGCACTCACTCTGGCCTGGGCAACAAAGCAAGACTGTCTCAAAAAAAAAAAAAAAAAAGGTGGACTGGGCACAGGTGACCCCAGGTCACAAGTGGGGCTTGCCGGGGCTTGCGAGAGTCAGGGTGACCTCGATCGCACCCATCATGATTTTTGGCATCTTTTGTTTTGGGTTTGAGACGCCGGCTCTGGTATCCATATCATCTGTCCATTCTGTCAAGAGACAACCGTAATCTCGACCCCACGTTTTAGCCCATCCCTTCATCCACACATTTGTACTGTCATCTTTCCACCACATGGGTTGATAATCAGCAGGTTTATTACTTGAGACCAATGTTTTGGCCGGGCGCGGTGGCTCACACCTGTAATCCTAGCACTCTGGGAGGCCTGAGGCGGGCGGATTGCTCCAGGTCAGGAGTTCGAAACCAGCCTAGGCAAGAGCGAGACCCCGTCTCTACTATAAATAGAAAGAAATTAATTGGCCAACTTATAAAAAAAATTAGCTGGGCATGGTGGCGCGTGCCTGTAGTCCCAGCTACTCGGGAGGCCGAGGCAGGATTGCTTGAGCCCAGGAGCTTGAGGTTGCTGTGAGCTAGGCTGACGCCACGGCACTCACTCTAGCCTGGGCAACAAAGCAAGACTCTGTCTCAAAAAATAATAATAATAAAAATAAATAAACAAATAAATGCATGACTTTCTTATTAGGAACCAGTTCATTAGGAAGCAATATCAAAATATAAGAAGTCATAGCTTACATGCTAAACTTAAAGCAATCACTTTGCAACATCAGCCCCAGGTGGAACTGGCTGGCCCTTGGGGGCTAAGAAATGTATCAAATAAACAAATACTACAGAATTCTTGGAGGATATTTTTTGAGGGAAGGCTGAAGCCTTGAGGTAAGGGAGGGCAGATGGAATGACAATTGCAGGGGAAAAAAGTAAAAAACAATATATTTCCTACATCCACAATAGCCTCCTTTCAACTTTAATACTTATGCTCAGTGAATCTATGTGACTCATAAAGGAGACTTTTTTTTTAATTAATTTTTTTTTTTTTTTTTTTTTTGTGAGACAGAGTCTCACTCTGTTACCTGGGTGTGAGTGCCGTGGCATCAGCCTAGCTCACAGCAACCTCAAACTCCTGGGCTACAGGCATGCGCCACCATGCCACGTGGTAAATCAGACATAATTAATTGGCAACTAATATATCCACATTATTGAGTCCCTACTTTGTCCTTTGTTCAACTCAAAAAACAGACCGAGCCACCGCGACAAGAGGTGCACCAAGAGAGTGGCGCAAGGAGTGCGCCCGTGCAGAAAAGGTTCAACGCAGCACTTAGGGTTATCTCCTGTCTGGGAAGCGCGCAGCCGAGGTGGGGCGAGGATCAGTGTCTTGAGCCTTCTCCTGGAGATGGACTTGAGGGCGGACGTGTAGCCTACAGGCAACCGCCACATTGGCAGCTCACCTCTAGCCTGCAAAACAGACGAGACTCTGCACAAAAAGAAAGGAAGAAAAGAAAGAAAGGAAGGAAGGAAGAGAAAAGGAAAGAAGAAAAGAGAAGAAAGGAAGGGAAGGAAGGGAAAGGAAGGGAAGGAAGGAAGGAAAGGAAGGAAGGAAGGAAGGAAGGAAGGAGAAGGAAGGAAGAAAGGAAGGAAGGAAGGAAGGAAGGAAGGAAGGAAGAAGGAATTGGTCGAGTAAAAATATATAGAAAAAATTAGCTGGGCATG